GTTTAGTCAAGTAATGTCGTAAAACTGGATTTCATTTCTTCTTTGTCCCTTCTCACAAGTTTCTTCAAAGCTTTAACAAGTCTCTTTTGTATGTCCAATATAGAAAAATTATTCAGGTTACTCTCTTGGTTTATTGTCTGTATGTCCCTTTTAATTATTTAATTATTAGCCAGTTTCTTTTGTATGTCTAGTGCAACATCTTTTTCCATGTCATTCTTGTAGCCTGTCATTTGTAAATCCACTTTCAACTCAGTCCCTATCTTGTGAGGTAAAACTTGTGTTTCTTCCACAACATCTTTTAGACATAGTCCATCCATAGAGGCAGATATTGCTGTTGATATTGTTAATATTAACTTCTTACTCAATTTTTCAAAAGTGTCCTTCAATATTTCCAGTGTTAGAATATTTTGCATGATTCTGTAACTATTAGTCATGTTTAAGTGTTCTTCTCCTTTAATTAAAATCTTTAGTTCCCCAGTGTCCAATTTTTAAAATGTTACCCTTATGTATTTTTTCCTTTAATTCAAAACAAAAGCATTTTCCAATGGGAAGGATTCTTTATAATTAATTCCAAAACCTTATTTCAAATTTATCTGTACCCTTAGTTCGTTCGTAACTTTCTAAAATCAAAATTTTTATTAACCTTTTGCTGTTTATTTTTTTAAAAAATGTTTTTTAAGTTCTTAAACTTGTAGCTAAAACTTTCTTTCATTAAGGATTGAAGGCAAACTCATCCAGTGCTTTCAAACTTGCTGATCCAAAGGTTTCTAATTGCTGAAAGGTAGTTAACAAGCAATTTCCTGAAAGTGATTAAAAAAGGAAGTATGCGAACTTACTGTCCTTCCAAAGGTGCCAACTGCGGTTTCAGCAAGATGATTATTCCCTTGTCTCCAGGACTCAAAACCCACCAGAGACCACTGTCTTGCAGTCTCCTCACAAGAAGCAACTGTCTGGAGCACTTGCCAGTGATCTCTCCTCCTCTCCTTTGTCCAGAGTTTGAAAAGCTGGTCTACTCACTGAGTCTTCATTCTTTGCCACAGTTGTTGGCTCTACTTTTTGTGGAGCCGTCTTCAGCCTGCCATTCTCCCTCTGGAAGTACCAACCATTTATAGATGATATCTCTTCACAACATTGCTATCATCTCATTGTTAACTGCTGGTGAGGCAGCATAAAGTTGGTTAAAGGTTTTCTAGCATAAATGTGATAAAGGTATTCTCTCTTATTCTGCCACAAACCTTCCCAAGCAGACAATCTAGTATACATGGAGGAGGAATCTTGGAAATGAAGCAGTCAGGACTGATGACCTATTCAGTTATAATTGGTCTAGCAGGTCTGCTGTCGGACTGCACCTTCCTGTCTTGTTACTGGGCATCAAATGCCCATGACCATTTTAGCTGTGCCTGTGAGAGAGACTAACTCCTTGCTTACATAGCTTATTTCTTCTTTTATTTGAGGTTTGGACATGGAAATAGTGATCTCCTGGAAGACTTAATGCAGATCTTCTAGGAGACTGATATATTCCTGTTTGTAAATTAAAATAAACCGAAAAAGTATCTGCCCCTTTAAAGGCTTTGGAAGATTCATATGTTAATTATGCGTTGGAAGATGGTAAAGTACACAAATGTTATAAATACAGATCTACAGATGCAAAAGTGTAGGTGGATGGAAGGGAAGAGAGGCTCCAAACCAAAATGACAAAAAGATTTGCAGAGAAAAGTAACTTCAGGATAGAGGCAAAAAAGAGAGATTCAGAAAGAACATCTCAGGTTCAGGGTTATTTGAATTTTAAAAACATTTATTTATTTATTTATTTGTTAGTTAGTTAGTTAGTTAGTTATGGACTGACTGACTGACTGATTTATTTATTTATTTATTTCAGTTAGTTAGTTAGTTATGGACTGACTGACTGACTGACTGATTTATTTATTTCAGGACTTATATGGCCACCTATCTCATATAATGATTCTATACAACTCACAACAATCCATAAAAACAAAGATAAAAACAGAAGTATCCTTTCCCCCAGGCACCAGACCAAACAACCTCCCAGCTCAACCCCCATCCTAGCTAAGTGCTTGGGAGATGACAACGTGTAAGGGAGGGGACCTGGACTACACTTACCCTACTAATCTAGTAGGACAGGCAGATACCTTCAGGGAGAGATGGTCCTGCAAATAACCTGGCCCTGTGCCATGTAAGTTTTTAAAAGTGATAACCAGCACCTTAAATTGTACCCAGAAAGCAACTGGGAGCCAGTATAGCTCATGTAGCAGTGGTGTTACCCAGGTGAACTGTGGGGCATCCAAAACTGTGTGTGCTGCTGCATTCTGGACTGGTTGCAGATTCAGGATGGTCTTCAACGGCAGGCCCACATACAGTGTGTTGCAATAATCCAAATGGAAGATAGCTAAGGCATGAATGACTGTGAGCAATTCTTCCACTACAAGAAGTGGAAAAATGACCTTCTATTTATCTGACAGGACTACTGTTCTCTCTGCAATTAGCTGATGTCTAGATTGAGTATTTATTTAGATTACTATGTTTATAAGCCACTTCAATCAAAGCTTATTCTGAATGGTATACATCCCAACCATTGCAAACTGGGTTACATATATACAATAGATATTACCCTAAAACAGTAGCAATCACAATTCATTAAAAAGAGACATATATAGCAACATATAGCTCTGGAAATGATTCCATTCAACAACCATCAAACACAAGATACCTCCTATCGCTGGAGAGAACAAATTATACCATTCAAGTCCCCAAGGCCTGATGAAAAAGCCATGTTTTAATGGACTTCCTAAAAATAGCACCCATGAAATTGTTTCATAGTCTCTAAGAAGTGCATATAGTAAAGAGTAAAAAGTATGGCTAAATAGGTAACTAATATTAAGGCTTGAACCATCAATTAATCAACTTCCAACATTAGTCCTATCCCATGTAATATTTCCTAAAATATCTACACCTTCCTATGCCAGGAAGCATCTACAAATTGGATGCTTCCTAGCACCTCTCAGGTTTCTCTCAGGGATCAGTTTAAAAGGTGCTCATCCACCTTTATGATGTTATGTGCCAGCAATCTGGTTCCATTTTGATTTAAGTGGAAACTAGTTATCTTGTACAGGTTCAGCTTGTCCTCAATTCCTATCAAATCTGTGTCTGCACATGGAACAGATAACATTTCTAAGAATGCTACTTTGGCAGTCATGGATTTTGCTCTGCTAAGGTCTGGCTGACTATATTTCCAAATCTCATTGGTGCCAACATGGACCATAGTGCTGCCACCTCCCTAGCACTATTTAGGAGATTTTTTGAAAGCAATGGGATGTACACAACCTTTGTACCAGGCAGGCAAGTCACCAAGCAATCTATATATCCATTACAGGTCCATTTGTCTGTGTTTCTAATTATCAAATCACTCACAAGAAAATCCCTCCACACTCCTTACAAGTATTCTTGTACAAGAGGATATGGGTTCATTTTCCAAATACTTGGGAACATCTCCCTTATCTTTGAAATAATGTTCCCATCTTAAAGCTCTTGATCTCTTTGACAGCAAAGAAGCAGTCCTACTGGGAGTGGGATGCATCTTCTAGAAGATTTTGTCTTCATATCTCTCTGACTGAACATTTCCAGTTCAATAGTTTTGGTTTCAAGGAAATAGAATTGCTCCTTGAGAGCAGGAACTCACTGCTGTGAACATAAACCCCAGCTATAAGCAACCTAACATTCTATACAATATAAGAGAATATACTCCATTCCCTGCTGACTTCTAATTTTCCTACCCCCTCCTCCTCCCCTCCTCCTCCTCCTCCTCCTCCTCCTCCTCCTCCTTCTTCTTCTTCTTCTCCTCCTCCTCCTCCTCCTCCTCCTCCTCCTCCTCTCCTTTGCAACATTTGATTGCTTCCCAAAAGCAGTGCCAAAAACCTGATTCGTTGAATATCCAATTCTGTTTTCTTTAAAGGCTATGGAAAAGCATTACACATGGAGAACCTGCTGCTCATGATTCTCTGTTATAATTCTTCAACAATTTCTTAACATGCTATATCACGCAAGACTGCTCTCTAGATAATGAAGGTAAAGACCAATTGAAGATATTTCACTAGATGCTATTGATAGATTAGTCTAGTTACTGTACAGAAAATCTGTGCACTGAACAGAAATTAAAGCCATCATACACTAGTCTTTTTCTTTCCATATTTATCAGTTAAGTTATACTTGCCTATTCTCTTTATAGTCTTGGAACATACCTGATCTATGTTGACATAATGATTCTCTTTAGGGTGAGAACCACTGCTTCCTCCCTTGCCAACTTCCTTACATATAGCCATATTGGCCTATGGTAACTATACCAATACAATACCCTGAATATGTACTGGGGCAGCAAATCCCAGACTTCTGAAGTTACCAATAATATTAGGAATTGCAGATTGAATACATGGAGACTTTTCCAAGTTGGAGAAAGCTGACTTATAACCAGGAATCTATACAGTTAAGAACTGCAATGGAGATATGAATATCACACTTTATAATCTTACAATGTTTGGGAAGGAATGTTTCCCACAAACATTCAATGACTAAACCCGCAATATAAGATAAAGCATCATTCTTACTTATGTGGTGCCTTTCCCAAAAAGTGTCACAATCATAACTGATGAGACTTAAAATATGTACAAGCCAGATTTTTACCCTGCAGTTTCTTAGGTTTAGAAATACTACAGAACAAATCCTAAAAGTGCCCCCAACCTACTGTCATAGTAATCTCTTCCCTAGAATGAATGACAACATAGACTACAGTAGCTTTCTGAAGCAATTTAAAAATAAAACATATTGAAATTGAGTTAGACTTAACTGAGTTAATTTAGAAAATGCACACAGAAATTTGTGTAGTGAAAAAAAAAGGTATTTGGGTGAAAAGAATTTATTGTTACTAAATTAACTACATCAAAACAAAACTTGATTTCAGATTTTGCTACTATATATTGTGATCTTACCTTTTTACCACAAGCTTCAGAAACTTGTGCGAGCCTTTCACCAAGCAGATTGCCTCTTGCCTGAAGCCAGAGAGGTTAATGTCATTGATGCTGACAATCTCATCTCCAGCCAGTAATTTATCAACAGCTGCAGCTTTGCTACCTTCTTCAATCTGAAAAATATAAATGAGGGAAAAAAAAAAATAACTGGCAACCCTGTTTACATATTTTATTTAAAAGCACTTATATTCTGCCTGTCCATCTTATAGAAATCCATAGGCTGACTTGACAGCAGCGTAAAAGAAACATTTAAAAACAAAATAAAGAAGGAAGAAAAGGCATCCAAACAGCTCATCTGGAAGTTACCAAGGCACGGTGGTTAAATTTTCTTGTCCAGGAGATGGTCCCTTGTAACACCATTTTAAGATGGGTAAAACTCAGATCCACTTACTATATCCATCTGATATTAGGTAGCAATTCTAAACTTAAAATACTACAAATCTCCACTTCTACACAGAAAGACAGACATTCATCCCAAAATAAATATTCCCAAAAACCACACTGCACTCATCTTATTGGAATTAAGCATCAATCTGATCACTAACTGATCACAATACTGTAACCCTGTCCATCATTAGTATCAAAATGGTGAAGTTCTGTGTAACAAGAGCATGAATTACTGAAGTCAAGTCCTCGTTCATTAGGTTAACTCGGCAATTGCTACACCAGCCAGATCTGGGCAAAGGCCCCTCTAGCCATGGCTTCCACCTGCTCTTTAAGCAGGAGCCGTGAGTCTAGAAGGACCCCCCACTGGAACCTACTCCTTAACAGGTACAGATAGTCCCCAGTCGAAGAACAACTTCCATTCCCAAGATCTGTTCTTAAATCAAATTGTATGTAAGCCGGAGTAATATTATTGTATAATACTTTGTAAGTAGTACTGTGTAATTAACTTGAATCATTGTATATTTCACTCGAATTTTGCTACAATAGACTCCATTTTTATAGGTCATCTGTTCTTAACCCAGGGACTACCTGGAATGCTTGCACATCCAGAGACAGCACTGGTGTTGACAAAGAAACCCAGTTTATTATAGTTTATTGTAATAAACTATATTATTATTATTAGTAGTAGTAGTAGTAGTAACAACTGTTACATACTTTTTCCAATATGCCAAGCAAGTTTTTCAGATAAGGGTATATTTTGGATTTTGAGAGCAATGAGTGGGCACACTCCCTATTTGTCTTCTCACAAAATGGCCAATAAGAAAACACCTATTGATCGGAAATCAAATTAGCCCTAGGTTTTGTTTTGTTTTCATCAATGGGCTGAATGACATCCCTATGAAATATGCTGTATCCTAGCATTAAACTCAGACATGGCTCTGTAGCAAGCCTATGACCTGAAGTAAGACACACTTCCCTAATTTTGAACCCACCAAATTGGTAGGACTGCAATTCCAAGAATTCCCAGATAGTACGTATTTCAATATAATGGACTGGGAATAGGGATGGGGATGGGGAATGAAATGAAATAAATGAAATAAATGAAATGAAATGGGAGGTTGCTGTGTTGGGAGCAGCTATTCCTTTTATATTTTCTCTTGAACCTTGTGTTGTTTTTACACTGGTTAAGTTCCTGGGTATATGACTGCATTTTGTTGTTTTATGTTTCTGTTTGGTTTACTTTCTTTGTTGCAATATTTTTATTATGCAATTTTTTACCCTTCCCCCCAGTTTTTATTTCTTTTGAATATGGCTATCTACATATCAAGATGGATAGAGGGAAGCAAAATGGCATGGTAAAATTGTAGCATGAGTACCTATAAACAGCAGCCTAGTCCTTTAATCATCCAAGGCTGAAAAAAATGTAAAAATCTTGGAGAAGCTGAATCCTGACACACACACACACACACACACACACACACCCAGAGTTCGAAGTGGAGGAAACTGCATTTATTTCCTTAAAAGAAAATGCTTTAAATGTATTTCTTTAAAACATCTTAAGAGTTTCTGAGGTGCCAGAATTGAGTTTTGAGATAAAAGGGGTCTGGGAATAAAATGGATTTCTGAACTCCTAAGAAAGCAAGAACTGGGAATGTATTACAGAGGAAGAAAAACTGAATAGTAGTTTATTATTTTGCGACACAGACTTTCCAAGGACATAGTGATTAGAAAATCTGTATTTGACAAATATAGATCAACTGCAAGTTTCATTGCAAAATGAAAATGCTATAAAAGGCAGAACAACTACTGGCATTTCTGGGATAGTCCCATTCCTTCTGCAAGCTGTGCCTCTCGTTCCTTCCCTAAAGCTGGCGTTCCATTCTTGTGAGACCTGGGGAAGACCAGAAGGTTTCCGAAGGATCGCGAGAATGGGACACCAGCTTGCAGAAGGTATGGGATCCACGGCTTCTGGAAGGAATAGGACGGCTTTAGGGAAGGAACAAGAGGCGCGGCTTAGGGAAAGAATGGGACACCGGCTTGCAGAAGGTATGGGACACGCAGCTTCAGGAAGGAACAGGACAACGGGACACCGGCTTTAGGGAAGGAATGAGAGGTGCGGCTTGGGGACTGGTGTGAGGTGGTGAAGGCCAGAGGCATGGAGCTTGAGGTGGCATTTCTCAGTGACAGTGGCAGCACTGGAGCTGAAGTGGAGGACTGGGGGTGGTGGCAGCTGGCTGAGATTGCTGAAGGCCTCGGGCCTTTACTTCAGCCCCAGTCCTGGTGGTGCTGCCGAGTGCCACTGTGCATAGATGGGGGGGAGATAGGCGGGTGGGGGTAGTTGCAGTACCCCTGTAGTCATAAGTGTGGGCAGGCTGCCAAGTGCCCAAATTTTGATTACGTGACCCTAGGGGAGTTGCAACGGCTGTATCCTCGGGCATGGGTCATAAGTTCATTTTTTCAGCACCATCATAATTTCAAATGGTCGCTGCACTAATTAAGTGAGGACTACCTGTATATTTGGAATCAAACCTTAGAGACTATACAATCTTGCTTTAAAAGGAATCCATTTCCTAGGCCTTCAAGAAATATTTAGCTATATTTTTTGCTTTTTAAATTGGCAATACACTGATTATAAAGCAGTGGTTAGCTACCCTCTTGGACCATCCTGCTCCAGCCCCAGGCAGGGACTCAACGTATTCCACATAGCACAGTAGGAACCTATGGCAGCATTATGGACAACATACCCTCCTCAAAGGCTATTACACAATTGTCTTTTGGAATTTAACAGTAAATATAAAACTTCAGGTGAAATAAAATATGTTCCTTCTTAATATTTACCAAACACACCAAGAAAGAACTTCTGAAGGAAAAAAGAAATCAAAACAAAAGCAAAAAACAAACAAAAAAGTCACCGCTAGAACCTCTTTTTATTTAATAGAACAGAAAGTGGAATTTCAGTAAGCTTATATGAAAACATGAAGAACTATAGTATACCCTTTTAGACAGAGCCAGCAATTATAAATTAATGTGTACATTTGACTGGTTACACTTTCAAACATTTCACCTAAACTCTAAGTTTAACATTTTCTTAAATCATCCACTGTAGAAATGACTTAGGTAAAAAAAAAAAAAATTCTATGACCAATCTATGCACATAATATGGAAGAAAATTCACTAAACTCAGAGAATGGTTAAGGAGTACAAGAGCTAAGTTACATGGCTCTTAAAAGAGAAATCTGCTCATAATACTGAAAACTTGCATGCTTGTCAACATTCTACACAGTTAAAATTCTGAAATACAATTGCTAAAAACAGGATGCAAAATAAATTACTATATTTAATTGTGATTGCAAAATATTATCATATATGCAAAGTGTAATTAATAAATTTAACAAGTCAATCAATCAATAAACAAGATTTTTATATCACTTTCCACTATTCATAGAAATTTACTTTAGAACTGTTAGCGGTACTGTCCTCATGATCTGTGAGAAGCTCATGATATCTTTAAATTATTGAGAAATTAACACATTTCACAAGATTTCAGCATTCTCACATGAGACTGTCTGAGATCTTCAAGGTGACATAATGGCATCCATCAGCTTAAAAGATTAATCCATATTTATATAATGCATTTAAGAAAATTAAGTTATAATACAGTTTACCTCTCTGCCCTATCTATACTTTAGTTGTTATATTTTAAAACACTTATATCTCAATTTTTCTTCTAGGATTTCAAAGCAACTACCTACACTAATGATACCTGAAAATATTAGCAAGCACAAACAAGAACTCAATTAATTAATTATCTATTTAATCTTGGAGTCTGAGACATTTGCTGTAGGCCTTATAAGGGCCTTTTGAGATCTCAATATGATTAACAATTTCAACACGTATTGACATATACTTAGGACTGAAAATTTGATATTCTTAAAGTGAAGGGTCCTTCACAGTTCTTCTCCAAATCCTTTCTAATTGATCAACATCCTGACCTTCACGTGCACAAAACTGAATTATTCATTTGGAGAAAAAAAACAATCCATGCAACAAAAACCATTGCCCTTTTTTGACTAAGCACAAACCATATAACCACCCCCAAATATTACAGAATGTAGTTTTAAAATCAAAGAAAAATGTCAGCTTTCTGGACTTCCAAAGAAGAAATGGCAGACTGAAGATGGCTCTGAGAAAAGGGGAGCCGATGACTGCAGTGGAATAAAGAGGCGGCAAGTAGTCCGATTCTTTGTAATTCCTCTCTAGGCAAAGAGAGGACTTGAGATCACCCACAAGTGCTCCAGACAGTTGCTCCTTGTGAGGAGACCACAAGACAGCAGTTTCTGGTGGGCTTAGAACTCTGGGAGACAAGGGAATAGCGATCTTGCTCAAACTTCAGTTAGCGCCTTTCAAAAGGGCACTTGGTTCGCATATTTCCTTTTCTAATCACTTTCAGAAATTGCTTGATAACTACTTTTCAGCTATTAGGAAACTTTGGAATGACAAGTTTTACATCACTGGGTGAATTTCTTTCAATCCTTAGTGAAAGAAGTTTTAAATACAAGTTTAAGGACTTAATTTTTTTTTTTGAACAAACAGCAAAAGAGAGAATAAAACTTTGATTTTAGAAAGTTACAAATGAACTAAGGGTACAGATAAATTTGAAATAAGATTTTGGAATTAATTATATGAATCTTTCCCATGGGAAAATGCTTTTGTTTTGAATTCTTTT